AGACCGTGCATGTGTTTGGAAGTGCCCATTGAAGGCGACCTATGGTCCCCTGAGTTTTATGTAGTCACTCCGGGGTGTTCTTGGCCACTTTTCTATTAAAACATTCATTAGAGTGGTTGGGATTTAAACTTACATTCGTATTGCAGTAAAAACGATTGCAAATACGGAAAGATTTCGCCAAAGAGACGGTCCTCCAACTGTCGAAATCTTATCTCCGCATGTTTCAACAGCCAATCGCGAGACCTCTCTTTACCTCCTGCCAGTTTCCTGGGGTGAACTGGTCGGTCAGGGTGCGGGGGTTAAGTGCTGGTCGCATTACAAAGACAGAGTGGGCTACCGGTTAGACATACAGATTTTGCAGGAGATAGGACGGCATGTGCATACTGCAGAACTCCTGAGCAGTTGACGCTCGGGAAATTAATTTGCAACTGTTCGTGAAGCATCTTCTCGGGGAGATATGTCCTTGCCTATCATTGCTTTTTGACATCTCAGTTACTTCTCAGCGGGTCTGTAGAACCCTGTGTGTTATAGAAACATGTGCAGTAACTTTGTGGAAATCTACAAACTGGCAGCCATTATGCAGTCAGGGTGGAAGATGGCAGCCTTCATGCGGCCCACTCTGCTTCGTGAAAAATCACAACTAATGTCATCAACCCGGTGACCAAACATCGATAGACCATCTGCCCGTGACCAGAGTAACAACTTAAGTCTCATTATGCGGCGCATATTAAAGCCGTGCAGTCACATTCGTCAGTTTGTGACTCCCCCGTTTCAAATAAGAAGTCACCTCAATGTATGTATGTTGAACTTCGTTCTCACCGTACATAGCCAACTGTGCTAATGGAATATATCTTCTCGAAGAGAACCTTTCAATGGCAATGCAATTGACAAATGGTATTTGCAGCTCCCATTCTCACTCCCACATGCACTTTGATTGGTGCGTTTAATCACTTTGTTTCCTCCCTTAACTGTTATTCTGTCTCTGCAAGAGCAGTTTGTGTTTCATATGCCATTTGTCTTTTTGGATGTGTGCATAGGCGGCTAAATGTGCCACATTTTCATAAGTACGTACAGCATTGCCCAGAGGATAGGAAACCTCCATTTGCATGTGGCAACACCGTTACCCCAGGATCACATGAGTCGACGAACGAATTTAAAAACGACTTTAGAACGCACAAACTGTTTTTCAGTCACTTTTGAGATGAATAAAACCTGAACGTTTTGAGCGCTCCAATAAAATGTTACATTTTAAATCGTTGCCGTCATTTCATGCTCAATTGCTTCACATTGAGAATGATGAATCTACATCTTAGCGGAGGTAAAAAAAATTATTGCCAGAAAGTCATCCCTCCCAGTGTTATGTCATAACATTTCCAAAGGTCAGAAGCTATTGTAAGACGTGCACTTGTGAAATGTGGCTTGTTCTAACATATTCTTAGCTCTTTCGGTAAAGTCACGTTGAAAGGAAACAATAAAATAATAATAAAAAATATAAAACAATAATATAATAAAATATATTTTCTTATTTTATTGTTTCCCTTCAACGTGACTTTACCGAAAGAGCTAAGAATATGAATTACTGCAGTCACGAAAGCTTTCAATCAAAATTTGTTCTAACATATTCACCAAATACTTTTGGTACAGGCTCCAGTGTTTGAGGAAGGCAACACGTCACATTGGAATAAAAAAAAGTGCGTAACATCTTATTGGTCTATTCCGTCTGGGATGTTGTCGTGGTGTGATGGTGAGCGCACTGGACTGGCAGTCCAAAGGTCACCGGTTTGACCTCCCGTGTGGCAGTTGCCACAATGAGACCGTTACTTCTCCCAGCCTCTGTCCGACCCCTACCCTCTCCCCGAGTAGTGACACAAGTGAGACATTACAGGGCTGCACCTTAATCCGTTTTACCCTTCAATAGGACCCCCACAACACAACTATAATATGGCACTCCTCCCTGCTACGTGGGATTTCAAGCCCAACAAATATGATTTTGTACTGTGTACACAAATTCGTCTTTCAAGTTTTTTGTTTAACCACGTCAGAACTCAAATTACCAGCATAGCGTCATTAGCAAAAGTGACCTGGGGCATTAGCCTGCCAGTAGTGGGGCAATGATTGCTATGTATAGTCCCCATTGAGTTATTTTCTGCTCATTTTCAAATGTGGATATAGCGGACCCTGACACCAGCAGACAATGGGATAACTCTTACGAATGACTTAGGGGATTACACACCAACGTCATCACTGCCCTCTCTAGCCAAAGTGGTGGTGGTCACTGAGTGATCTTTTTAAAGTTACTCAATAGCTAATATGAGGTAACTATATCTATTTCAAAACTGCTTATCATAAAACAATTGGAAAATACAATTTCCATCACGCCCCATGGTGTTAGGTGCAGTCTCCAAACCTTATTAACTCCATCTCTCTGGCCTCTGTATGTGTGTGCTATGAAGAAGGCTGCATTGCCGAAACGTGAACAAATGTTTCTTTTAAGGCGGGGTTATCAACAATTCGTTGGGTTACTTTTTGTTAATTGTACTCGTGCAACTCTGTCAATGCAACAGCGTCACCACGTAATTTGTTTCATTTAAACACGTTTTGCTGTAGTCATTGGTTAGGCTAGACATTTAAAATTATAAGCTCTTATTTTTGCACTCCATTTACCACGTTGTTTTAATGCTAACGCGGTCAGAAATTTACACCGAAATTGTGCATTAACCCCCGTGATGACATACCTTGTTCTGGGGTCAGCCTGGAACTAAGCTTGCAGCACAATTCAAGAAGTGAGTCCAAGGGCTGGAGTCTGTGAATTGTTTGGCTAGGCCAGACTAGTCTCTTGGAGTAGATGCAATAATAGATCTATCTCAGTTCACACACCAAAAAACAAGTAGAATCCAGGCAAATTTGGATGGGTGACAATGCATGCTTGGAATTTTTCTGAGATGCATGGAAGTGGAACACATGGATCAGGAAAAAAAAAACACAAATCATCGGCATAATTTTAATGATTAAGAAAAGTAAAAGGGCTTGAAGATCGATGTGATGGGTCGATGGACTATACTGGTGATAGGGGCACCACGTTCGCGAGATGTTAACTACTTCGTCCCTGTATACAGGACGTCGTGGGTTAGATCCCCACCTTGACGTTTGTATATTTGGAGTTTGCATTTTTACCCCGTGGTCGTATGGATTTTTATACGGGTCCTCCGGTTTTCCCCTCCACATTTAGAAACATGCATTTCAAGTATTTGCCTGCTATAAATGTCCACGTTATGATAAGCCACTTCGTTGAGCTACCATTTGTGGCCAGGGCGCTTCTGAAAAAGAACGACATGGGTCAGTGGGCCTTACCTGTTGAAATAAAAAATAGTTTAGTTTTTCGTGTAGGGATGGCAGCATGAGGAGATACGCTTTCAAGAGGATGACCACCACAGAGATGGAGAGATTAGATCATTGTGTGTGTGGTGTAGTCGTGAGATGTATGGTAACAGCCTTGCACTGTTCAGAGAGGCATTCGTCCACGCCGCCGTGGCTAGACAATGAATGACGGTGACAATGGCTGTTTGGGTAGACCTGGCTTTTTAAAAAGCACAGCAGAACGCCAATCTTTAGCCAGAGCCATGTGTGTAGTGCCCCCTGGTGATACAAGATCCCGAGCAACGTAGGAAGTGGCTTCTTATGATGTCATAAGGGGCCGTCCATAAATGACGTCACGCGATTTTGGACGATTTTGGACCCCCCCCCCCTCGTCACACGGCGTCACAAAAAGTCAGACCCCCCCCCCTCAAATATGACGTCACAAAGCTCTGACCCCCCCCAAAAAAAGATGATTCAAATCACTTTAAACTATTGTCATTGTAGTGCGTATTTAATGTGGCGCTGCACTCTGATGTTGTAGGAGAAATCATTTATTAAAAAGTCTATTTAATTAAGTAGCACGTGTTGTCTATATTGATTTAAAGTTGGGCATTTTGATGTGACGTCACATTTCTTAAACACTGCCCCCCCCTCGTCACACATCGTCACAAATGTCTGACCCCCCCCCCCCCCCCCAGGTGCGTGACGTCATTTATGGACGTCCCCTAAAGATCTGTGTTGTCGGAAGAACAGTCCAATACTAACAAGCGGTGGAAAGACGTATAATATATTTAAAAGTAGTGTATTGTATCTTGTAAATTAAGACCTCACAGGAAGAAAGGTATGCTGATGTTCAGCATGTACTCAACACTTAGTCACCAAAATGAGAATCAAGCTAAGTTTATTGTATGTACATAAAAAAATAATAAGTTCCGCGTCCACATTGTACTCATCGATTAATATGCAAATCAGCATCACATTCGACACTAGGTCATAGAAATCTCATATTTCACTGAGACGTTCGATTCATCCGTAGAAGGGAAAAAAATCAAATATGCAGCAGGCGACGTTTCGGACAATGGCCCTTGTTCATAACACACATTGAGGCCATGTTTTTTTTGTTTTCTGAAGAAAAAAATCAAGAAAGTTAACAAAAAAAACCTCCCTCTGAGTTGGCAAGGCCGAGTCTGGCGCGAGAAACCTAAGGATCTCACGCGTGAAGCCTAAGGATCTCGCGCGTGAAGCCTAAGGATCTGACGCGAGAAACCTAAGGATCTCGCGCTTGAAGCCTAAGGATCTCGCGCGTGAAGCCTCAGGATCTCGCGCGTGAAGCCTAAGGATCTCGCGCGTGAAGCCTAAGGATCTCGCGCGTGAAGCCTCAGGATCTCGCGCGTGAAGCCTAAGGATCTCGCGCGTGAAGCCTAAGGATCTCGCGCGTGAAGCCTAAGGGTCTCGCGCGTGAAGCCTAAGGATCTCGCGCGAGAAACCTAAGGATCTCGCGCGTGAAGCCTAAGGATCTCACGCGTGAAGCCTAAGGATCTCACGCGTGAAGCCTAAGGATCTCGCGCGTGAAGCCTAAAGATCTCGCGCGTGAAGCCTAAGGGGGTGGGGCGTGAAGCCTAAGGATCTCACGCTTGAAGCCTAAGGATCTCGCGTGTGAAGCCTAAGGATCTCGCTCGTGAAGCCTAAGGATCTAGCGCTTGAAGCCTAAGGATCTCACGCGTGAAGCCTAAGGGGGTGGGGCGAGTCGCTTCCGGGTCGCGCGCCCCTCGCTGTATTTGGCGCGCGCCAGTCGCTAGCAACTTTTTTTTTGGCGGGCACCCGCGAACAACTTTGTCGTCGTAGTCGTCGTGAGGAGTCGTTGTTGTTGTCGTTGTTGTAGGCGGATTGCTCCCCCACCCCTCTCGCGACTCCCGTCGACCGCGTTGCGTGAGGAGACGGAGAGGAGGAGGAGGTGGTGGTGAGGAGGAGGAGGAGGAAGAGGTGGTGAGGGGCATTCTCCGGCATTCGACGATGTCGGGCGTCGACGCGAGCTGGTGAGGAATCGCACAGGAGGGCGAGTCCTGGAATCTTTATTTCCAGACTCGCAGTTAATCCGATGAGCTAAGAAGCTCTTCCCGCCGCCGCCGCCACAGATATCCAGTATGGGCGGGTCAGCAAGTTGCAGCAGCAAATACTGCAGGAGAAGTTCAAAACAAACGATAGGAGTGCAAAATAGATTTTAAGAAATGGCAAGCAAGTTACTAAACGTACATGCTGAAATGCGTTAATTATTAAAGTGTGGCTTAACAACATTGGGCAAGTCAGCTAGATAACGCCACGCAACAGTAGTCCCCGTAATACAATGCCACATTAACATTGAACAGTCGCCAACGCGGGTAATGATCAAATAGTCACGGGCAACTTGCCGTGCGAGTGCTGTTGTAGTTCAATCGATGGATCGTTATTTTACGTGCCGATATCACCCTCGATAATAAAGTGTAGGCAATCTGTGCACATTTGCAGCAGAACGGGAACGGGGCGCACACGGCGACAGGCATGACAACAACGATAAAAACCCATCGCTACCTCAGCCACTAACAACCGGACTGAACGAATAGCATTAAACAAATAATACATCAAGTAAAGAGACGGGTTTTTATTTTAAGTTTCAGATGTCATGGGAAGAAGGCAAGTCTGAATAGGCGTGTCTAGCACAGGCCACCCGATTGAGATACATCGGACGCGTTTCGGATGCCCGGTGGCAGTTCAGTAAAAAAAAACTGGAGGAATCCGATGAGCTATAAAGCGCTCTTCTACAAATGTCCAGTAGTAGTTGGGTGTTGTAGCAAGCGGGTGTCGGTGGCGTTTGGTTGGTTATGATCATTTGCGAGGTTAGACGGAAAGACCAGAAGGACAGACAAGGACGTAGAGACAGACACTGTCAGACAAGTTGTTGTGCAGACGCACGGAGAAACGCAAACACAGGGACACAGATTCCACGTGTAGCTTTAAGCGAATGTTGCGACAAGTGCTGTTTAACGAGCACCTACGAAAGCCGGCAACGGTGGACGAAGGGTTTGGTGGCCGGAGCCACGCCCGGCTGTCTTTGTCTCCCCAGCGCTGATGTTTATACAACGCTCCAAGTACGGTACTCATTTAAGGCTGAGTCGACCTCGGGGAGGCCCAAGACCGGTTCAAATATTTGTCACTGTTGGTCGTGAACGGTAATCGAACTTGGGTCGCCAGATGTCTGTAGCGCAATGCGTCAACCTCTGCAAAGACACACGCAGCGGACACAGAGACGGACACTGGCACAGACAGACAATGACACTGAAACAGACAGTCAGCCTGACAGCAACACAAATATAAAGAGCGCCTGTGTTGCCTTGAAAAGGCTGTTTGGGAAAGTTGAGTGATAGATGGATTGATTAAAAAAAAACTGTCGTGACATATCTCGTAAAACTGCATAAAACTATTTAGTAGAAGGCCTTATCAACAGCTATGATCAATCCACTGCTGGATGAAGGCCTCCCCAAGCCATCGCTATTTCATGGCCTTGCATTACAATCTATCTCGTGCCTCTTCCACCAGCAACTTAATTAGAGAATAATACCAAATGTGTGTATCCAATCATTTGGGAGCATTAATCGAAACCTATTCATGAGCGAATAATTGATTTTACAGCAGTAATTTTGTCTCATACTTATTTAAAAAACTATGAAATCATATATCATTTAATAGAACGAATTGCATTAGACAAGCGAGCTAAAATGTAATTATTACTGTGAAAAAAAGTGGTCAAATTGGCCCTTTGTTGAAGGAATGTGGTGGTCTCCATTGTCAAGCCATTGCGTCCCATGAGAGATGTCCACCAATGTGTGCCGAACTAGCAGAGAAATGTGGGCTCACGTGGTCCTTGAGAAGAAGTACGATTTGAACTGAACATCTCAATTAGCTTCACGTGCTCGGGTAAACAGTGCAATACTCCAAGCAAGAAATACTGCACAGATACATTTCACAACGACGAAGAAAAAAGATTGGCTGTGAAGAAGTCTAAATATCTTTGAGCTGTTCGACTAATAATTAAACACTGGTAAATCCGCTCTCTACAAAACCTACATTTTGCAAGAATATTTCAACTGACTGGTGTAACTGTTTATTTCCCACTAATTTGCGTAGATCTCACGTTTATACATTAACACAACATTTAAATTGGGTTCTCACCTGGTTAAAATATGACATTTTCCGCAGTTAAATTACAGGAAAATCTTTATACTTAACTTTGTGATGCCCCTTTATAGGGTTGTGAATGAACACCTCAACTAAGTGTGTTGTCATTCTGTATAAATATTGGGGTAGATCTTTGGCAGAGTGGGTAACTCGCTATTCAATCAACTCGACTCTAAGTGTGGAGATGAGCTGTTGTTAAACACTGATGATGCTGGATGTAATCTTCAGTGAAATGTTCGTATTTTGTCAGAATTGTGCTTGATTTTCAACATTCCTCCTCTGGTTTTGCTAATAAACCCAGTCAATGAGCATATTTGCCCACATGACTTGATTTCATTGGCTGTTGGGTGGTGGAGGGTTATAGTTTAAAACATTGACATCATAACTACGCGATCCGACCCAAAATACACTAATTATGGATCACTACTCTATGAACCTGGCGATGTGAGTTTTGTCACGACTGACATCCGTAGAGAGCATCTGAACTGGTCCTGCCCCCCCCACCTCCTTCAACCTGCACTAACCAGAGTGGTAGAGTATGATCACACAACCCTTGTGAAAAATATGGCATGGGAAGGCCTTCATCCAGCATTGGATTGACAATGGGCTGCAACTGTGCAAGTGTAACTAATACAGGGGTCTGTCGCTGGGCACACTCGCCACCATGCTCAAGGCAGTCAAAATATTAACGTCTGCACGTGTAGGTATGTGTAATAATGTGCGCAACACACAACACGTAGAGTCGCTGTGGCTAATTGACGATTTGATATGCATTCGAACCTTGTCATGAGTGTGCGAGACGTCTACTGCTGTGATGTAGCAGCTGAGAATAATGTGTGCAAGCTTCACATGTTTGTACGTCAATGGACACCCCCCTCCACCTTTACCTCCATTCCTCCCCCTGTCCCCAGGTGTAGGTATTTTTTTGTGTACGACACGTCACAGGTGACGCGAGAAGATGACAGCACTGATAAAGGCATCCGCTATTTTTACCCGCCCGAGGTTGGTGTGCCACCGGAAACATTACACAGTGAAAGCATATTGTCTATTGTGTAATTGCTGCCTTCTCAGGTAGTTGAAGGAATTGGCTGCGTCGCTCAGATTGTAAGAACACTTAGCTTGGCACCACCAGAAATAGTGGGTTTAAATCCAGGCCGCTGCCCGTAATTTATACCGGGTTCTCAAATGCAGCGAGTCGATGGTCTCATCCCAGTCGCCAGTCTCATCCCAGTCGCCAATGCCTGTTTGAAAAAAAAAATCTATCACATTCAATTTGGTTTTGCACTTTAAAGGTTACATTCTAGATCTGAGAATGAAGAATATTGGTCATGCAACAAACGTTGCTGTGTGGGGAAGTGCAGCCCCCTAGAGTGAATAAGAGGCCACTTTAACGAAGGTCGCAGACGCTTTTATATGATGTATGCTTTCACAGACTTTGGTCTAACATTGAGGACGCACTGCTCTGTGAGACTTTCAAATTGTTTGCTCTCATGACATGATGCGCACAAGTAATGGAAGGTTGCCTTGTTTTCTTTTACTTTCACCGATATAATGTAAAAAAACGTGACCTCTTGTACGTGCAGTGTTTTTGTTTTAACGCCCTTCATCTACTGCGCGCATCCTGTGCAGTAGATGCTGCTTCTTAAACCTTTTAAGACTGCTAGATGTTGTTTACCATCTTTGCTTGTGGGCTTATGACCGAATAACTCAGAATGCAGCCAATCCTGCTGTCAGACTTCGGAAGCAGGCTTGAGCCTGTATAATGATTGGATTGGTGTCTACCATGCACAAAACAGGTGGTGTACACATTGTGTGCAGTCAAGGGCAGTGCAGCAAAATCCATCCTGCACCAGCCCACACACTGACCATTAAGGTGAAGTATGGTCAAGTAATCCTCACGGTATTGGGGAGGCCCTTGCCTAGCAGTGAATTAAAAATGGCCTTTACATTTGCACCTCTAATTAGCATGGTTGACTATATAGAGTGAGAAAGAAGTTCAACATACGTGTAGATGTAACTCGCTGATGTACACACCTTTGTTGGACTTACGTGTCATGTTGCCATTTTTCTATAATGTTCTGCACCCCTGATATTGTAGTCTCGTGTATGATGATGCTTTATCTTAGCCTGCAGTCACGAAAGCAGTGGCAAAAGCTTTTAAATCGAAAAACAAAAAATCCTGCATTCGTTGTTTCTTTTATTTGATGGGACATCTCATAGGCTGGACAGGACTTGGCCATGTTGAGTTCAGTGAACCTGCGCGGATCCCTCCTTGGTCGCATTCACGGCAGGTTAATAACGCACACGTATGTAACAATCCGTTGAGCCACCGGTGCCGGATTTTGCAGACGGACGAGGACGAGCAGCGCTTGCTGTGCAGTCAGTTCCCAGGCGTGGCGCGGTGTGTCGCCGAAATCACCTGCCGCCCTCCGTTCATGCTGCGCCTTCGTCACGTCAAGTTTGCGCTGCGCACTCAAGGCCCCTTCTTTCTGGTGAGCACTAAGCCCCCAGAGTGGGATCCACACCCTTGGAAATGCCTTCATAACGGCTGCAACGTGACATGTCGTCACATGAACACCACTGGAAATGAAAAAAACCCTTGTGATGCAATTATCAAGAGCTCTGTTACAGTGTTGTAATTTTAAAGTCTGCCGTGTTAAAACTGCTACTATGTAAAAAAAACTTTGATGTAATTACAGCCATTTGTATGAAATGGCCAGTACGCTAACCGCTGCAGTCACCTAATGTAATTATTTACTAAAGTGTGTCATCTATAGTAAAAGACACATTCTTTCCATATTACCCGTGTTCTCTCCCTGTGTTCAAGATATGACTCAAGAACCTCCATTTTCTCCTGTCGTTAATTGCTTTTTACTGTCGGTATTGTTAATGTCTATTTTTTATTTGTGATTTTTTTTGTAACGCCACATCTCTTATTCCTCGAGTTATTTGAAATGTATTGCTTCCAAATGGCTTGAGATGTTCATGAAATGTGGTGCTGTATATATTTCAATTGTAAGTTAAAGGGATGTGATGCATTTACCAAGTTTAGGCGATTGTGTGCAAGTGTTGTCATCTATAAAGTCCTGAGTTCAAACATTGGTGTACAATACAATTCCAATATTCTTTGTTGCATGTATGGTTGGAATAAGATTGTGTAGAGCAAAAAAAAATCAGATTTTTTTTTTAATGGTGTAGTCCACACAAAAGTAAAGAATATTGATTTGGGGTATCCAAGTAGAGGTAACTGGTGGACAATGATACGCACATTGTTTAATGGGTATGTCAATGTGCTGCAGATCTTGTACATTTTCCATTCTAGCAGTGGCAACTACTTACGGAGTTTTACAAATAAATAAGTTTGTCTATATTCTTTGGGTCTTTCGGTAAAGTCACGTAGATATCCTGCAGTCACGAAAGCTTTAAGTCAAATTTATGTCTGTGCACAAAGTTAAAGACCAAGTTAAAAAAGAAGAAAATATCAAGGCAATGGTGCACATCAACCAGAGACCTTTGTGATTGCGTTTTTAAAGTTCTTGGTGGTTTCAAATGTCACTCAAGGCATTTGTATCCGTATGGTGGTGTAATAGCTTGACCCAAACACAAGCACATGTGGGATCACAACTTGTGAGAAGCAACTTTGAAATGGGACGAATGTTCTTTCCGCACCGGTGATGGAAGGATTGTTCAAATTACTTGGTTCAACAGTGCATTTTTCAGTTACATCATTTTGGTTATTTTTCATTTTCCAATATTCATCCCAGTAGGGCACAGACAGATTCGAAAGGACGTGGATGCATGGGAAATGGGATTTTTAAGTATAATCGCTCTTTCCAGAACTATGACGTTCTCAGAGCTGACATGTGATATGGAAAAAAATATGAGCAGTGATATATATACAGACGTATTTAAATTCATAAACCCTTCCTTTAATATTGAAGTCTCTAACGTTACAGTGATTCACTGTGTAAAATAAAGTCTTGCTCTTCATTTTCATTGAATAATATATAATTTACAATTTATTAAAAATATATGTCAATCAGATGCTATAAAAGGCAAATTAATGTTAAATGCCATTCTCAAGCATTGAGAGATTATCAAAGGATGTTTGGTTCAGTATAAACTGCCGCTCTCCTTTTAAGATCACACAAACGAAGGCGTAAATAAAAAATAAATTGCAATTGCCAACACCCATTTTCGAAGATGGAGCAGCTTCACTAATATAAAATGAAGAAAGTAGCAAAATGCAGATCAGGAAGAATCATGCAAGGAGCTATTCTATCACAGTGTCACTCATACATTGGAGAAATGAAGTATTCACCATTCAGTTGATGATGTAGTTATTTCAACAACCAGTGGCAATGAAATCTATGAAATTATTTAAGAATTTTAGGATTTCTGACAAGTGTGGCCAAAGATAAATGAGCAAAACAAAAGTCACGTACAAACCCGGCTACCCGAGTTTGATTCTCGCTCGCTGCCAACACCAGTGACAATTATCTAAACCGGTCATGGGCCTCCCCTAGGTCTGCTCGGCCACAAATGGGTATCTTGTGCATTGTGTAAACATCGGCACAAGGAAGACAAAGACGGCCGGGCTCGGTGCTGGCCACCTACCCCCCTCGTGTGCCGTACCGTCCTCGGAGGAGCTCGCTCGCATTGCTTTCCCCAAAAGTCTGTTTAGGCTATAACAGGTAATCTTTGTCTTGGGGGCAGGCTCTGGGCTGCATAACGTCCTTGCCGGATGGCTGCTGCCGCCACATGTTGGATCGACTGCTGGTGCTGTTCACGTGCTACCGTGGCCCGCTGATGCTTGCGTACCAGGTGCTGGCACCCGCAACGCATGCTGCTTCAACTGTGAATTTTCTCATGTGACTTAGTTGTGTTTGCTCCATTTTATCTTTGCTTTATTGCTGTGCTTTATATTATTGGTTTTTCTTTTGTCACTTTGCTGAACCCCATCTCACTATTGGATTTGAAATGTTCGTGGTCTCTTGGGTTCTCCTCTAGCTAAACAAAATTAACTTTAAACTTGAAACCAAATATTTGGTTTTGCGTATTCTTGCTGAAACAAATTCCCCTATACATAAGACCTACTTTAGTCAGAGGTCTGACACAAACTTCAGTTAGTTTTGCTTAACCAGTGAAAAACTTAAGTGACCAGGATAGTCTAACATGCAATTGTAAACCTGGGTCACCAATATGACAAAGTGATAGTTGTATGATACATGCAGCATGAAAAACGTTGAACAGCTTTTCCCGTAAAGTGTCACAGTTATCTGTGGTTACCTTGTGGAGCCGCGGTAGTGAGATGTTAACTACCCCGCTTGGTATACAGGAGGTTGTGGGTTGAATCCCAACCCTGACACGTGTATATTTGGAGTTTGCATGTTTACCCCGTGGTCGTGTGGATTTTTCTTCGGGTTCTCTAGTTTTTCCCTCCACATTTAGAAACATGCGAGTATTTTGTTGCAATAAATTTCCACATGATAAGCCACTTCGTTGAGTTATAATTTGGGGCCAGATCGCTTCTGAAAAAGAGCTATATATCTCTAAGTGGGCCTTACCTGGTAAAATAAAAGATAGTTTTTAGTTTTAGTAGTTTTAAACATATGCACATGGAAAAAACATTCACCTGTATGGCCTGTTAACCGATGGCCTGTTAACCGATGGACTCGGTGTTACTTTTTGGTGGGGTCTGTTTTTTTTACTGGTTACTGTACAAACCATGGAAGATGCAGATACTTGATGCACAAAAGGAATTTTTTTTAAAAACATCTCTGGTTTGTGACTGATCACCCAGAATGGACCAAAGAACATACAACGATTCAATGCCCATTTCACAAATATGAAGGAGGCATCATCAAAGCGATACACTCTGCTACTACTCTTGATGCAATTATCTGGCTCAACCACTTCAACGTAAAATTATTCTTGTTGTTCTATATCAACATTGGCCATTTAAAGAAGAACACTGCAGGAAATGATTACCTGTCGCCATCCGTTTTAAGTCAAGCATTACGAGACCTCGGTTTGTTAAAGTAGGCTATTGTTGGTGTTTACAATTGTTCACTGAAAACCCTGGTAGTGCATTGTAAAAACACGCCAAAATCTGTCTGCACATAACAACCTGAGCAATCTGATCTGTCAGGCCAGAAGTCCTCATTCTGTGACCCACCGGTGGCAATTAGAATCCGTGCCCTCAAGGTCATGTTGACCAAAACGCCACCTTGTTTCTGCACCAGCCTTGAATAGTGCTTGCCAGCAGTACTCGCCCTGACCGTCCGTAAACTTAAAAGTTGATCGTTTCCTTTGTTCATGTGTATGTGTGTATTTGTAGTTGTGCATTTCTGTGCGAATGTGTGTGCTTTTGTGTCCGTGTGTGTATTTGTGGGGAGCAGGGTAGTGTAGCCGTTCATGCATTACTTTACGAAACCGGCGACCCAAGTTCATTTCCCGGTCATGGTCAACATTTAACTGAACCGGTCCCCGGCCTCCTCTAGATCGTCTCGGCTTTAAATTAGTGCCTGTGGAGACAAAGGGCATGGGAATGGCACACCCACCCCGTCGTGTGCCGTGCCAGCCTTCATAGGTACTCGCTAGCAGCACTTGCTCCAACAGTCTGTTGAAGGCGATATAGTGATTTTTTTGTACACCTGAGCGACTGTGTCTCCATGTGCCTGTACGCACGTGTGTGTATATATATCAAGAAGACAAAGATCCCCCTTATAGCCTTGAACAAACTGTTGGGGAAAGTGCTGTTAGCGAGCACTTATGAAGGCCGGCTAGGTACACGAGGGGGTGGGTGGCCAGCACCATGCCCGACCACCTTTGTCTCACACCGCACCAGGTACCCATTTGAGGCTGAGTCGACCTAGCGGAGGCCCAGGACCGGTTCAGATAATCTTCACTGGTGTTGGCCATAAGCGGGAATCGAACTCGGGGTCACCATGTTCGTCGCACAGTGCGCTAACCGCTACACTGCCGCTCCCCATATCAGCAGGGATCTGGACCTCCGTGGCCCATCTGGGAGCCCTTCCTGGACCATGTGCAACGAGCAGTCAGATACCTGCCCGGGCTATTTTCCACCGTGCGCTACCTCAACAAGCGGGAGGTACGCTGACCGCACAAACCTCGCATGGATGAGGCAGCCACAAAGGAGCTAGTTCATTACCTTGGAGGGGAGGGGGAAATATGCGTTTAAGTTTATTTTATTTGTTACACAGACGATCCCGTTTAATCCAGTTGTCTGGATATTTTACGAGAGTGGTCCGTGGTGTGTGACCACAGCAACAACAAAACAAGGGCAAAAACCATCAATATTGCAGAGAACGAGTACAGGGTCCTTAAGAAATATTGCACAGGGCCTATTCACCTCAAAGCATTTTGGGGCATTGGTCGGGGGGGGGCATGGGGCGATGAGGGAAAGAGGAGGGGCACCTGACGAGGCGGGAGGGGAGGTAGAAAGGCTGGTGGGATGCCTGACGTTCCTGTGTTTTTGCGGGCAGGTGGACCCATTGCTGCTGCTGAAGGCAGCGCTTATCCTGCAGAGCTGCCAGCGCTGCCCCCACGTGTTGGCCGGCTGCATCCTGCACAACCTCACGTACGGCCGCTCGCACGCACTCGTACCGCCATGCAAGATGCACACCCACACGGGTACGTCCCTTGCATACAGCTACGGGTCCCACGGTGTAACCGTGTGTAGGCATACAGCCACAGACGCGTAAACTGATTCGCAGCTGATGTACATAGCCAGTCGTGCTAATCGGAGGTGCGATGTACATAACCTTATCTTTTTATAATGGTTGCTTAAACAGCAATTGTTTGGATAGGCCATGTGTTTATATCGCGATTTGACTCTCAAATAATATTTTACACTTGGAAAAGTGTTCCCCATTCCTACCCTAAAAGGCTGATTCATCAGCGCTGTCATGGGGCCCACGACACTTTGGCTCGTAAACCACACCCGTCTCCCATTCGCTTTGACCTGCCTACTCTCGTGTTGTGCTGCATTGTTGCCTTTGGTACAAGTTACCCAGTGGCCATAACAATATATATTATTCAGAGGTGGCCAGGTGCCTGAGTGGCCTGATACAGTGTCAGAGTTGTGAGCCGAAAATGGTGTGATCCTGGTTTCAAATCCATTCGATCAACCCTGATTAAACTGTGGTGAAATATGGCAAATTGGTTTTGCATTGTCATTAATGTCTGCACAAAAAATATATAATTAAATACGATTTTCATGCTGTTCGGAATATTCCAGCTCTGAAAATTATGCATTATAATTTGACAACAAACACTTTTTTTAAGGCAAGTTACAGGTGAGTGGATAGGGACTAAATTGAGGTGACTTCAGAAGCGGTTCTGTGACGTTACCTTCTATGGCCATTCTCTGACACATTGTGCAGCACTGCCCTGTATAAGAGTTCCAAGTGGAATTTTGTGTTTGTTTTATGACAACATTGGAAGCTTTCGTGGGGAATACAAAGATCATTGTAAAAAGACAAGAGAGTTTCTTTTCTCTCACCAAATATACATTTTGTTTCGTACCACTTTGGGTTTTAATTTTCTCCTTGCAAGTTGACAAACGACATTGTTATCACTGGCAGAGTGGTGAGCAGCCAGCTGACCCCTCAGGTGACGGCTCATCTCCTCGCTGCGCGGAACGTTCACCGTGCTCTGAAGGTGCTCCTCTTGATACGCACCGACGTTCAAACAGACACAAAAAGAGACCCCCTGTGTATAGCCTTAACAGACTGTTGGGCCAAGCGTTGTTAGCGAGCACCTATGAAGGCCGCCACGGCACACACACAGACACATTTGTTTCGTCAATGTGCTTCCTCTTCTTCTTTGGTTCTTTCGGTAAAGTCACGTAGAATGAGAATGAAATAATAAATTGATAAAATAAAATAACTCAATAATATTCTCACGACGTTTCGGCCACAACACAAGCGGCCTTCATCAGGTGAAGGGACGAGACTGTCTGGTAGGACAGCGCTGGAGTGAAAAAGCCACGTTCAGATCGCGACCTTTAAGCTGTGTCAGAAGAAACAAAGCGCCTTGACAAAGGAATTAGCATATAATTTAGCATTGAAATGGCCGAGTGATTAGCTTGTGACTGGTCACAGAAATGGCTATGTTAAAGTTAAAGCATACACATCCGCAGAGGCACCCCTTGACAAAGGATTTACCATAGAATTTAGCATTGAAATAGCTAAGTTAAAGCATACACATCCGCAGAGGCACCCCTTGACAAAGGAATTAGCATAGAATTGTTCAGAACATCTCCTTTCTCAGCTGCCCACGAACCTTCACATGAAGGACGAGCTCTCCTCTGGAAGGGTCTTTCCTCTTGGTGTTGGCCTGAAAACCTCCTTTTATGGATAATTCAAAATCATCATATGCATGCTAGACCTTCCCTATATTTTCACTCGCATCAGTGTTATATATTTTTTTTCAACAAGTATTTAATTTTGTTGGACCTCCACACATTTAGTCTTGATTTGAAGCTTTCGTGGACTGCAGGAATCCATAACCTTTGGTTCTTTCGGTAAAGTGACTTTACCGAAAGAACCAAAGAGTATCCACACATTTAGGTCCGATGCGCACGGTGTAACATTGATGTAATGTGTGTTCATATGAGCTTATTCCTTTATCTCGCCTTTATAATGGATAACCCTTGCATTGGAAGCCAAAGATGTAAGTCATTTGTATAACTCGTAGCTTTTTTGTTTGTTTATCTCAACAGGACCTTTCACAGTATTCAAGTAAGTTAAATTGTTGTTTCAAGACCTCACAGGGTTATTTGACATTTTTATGTGTTTGGTATAAGGCACTGCCACATTGTGTCGTCCTATTTTTTGTTCTGATTCCTTCATTGCTGTACTTTTGTTTTTTTTGCTTTTGTCATTCTGGTAACTCGGATAACTCGTGCAAATTATCTATCGCTGGCCTCTTGAGTTCTCACATGGTTAAACAAAATAAACTTGAACTGTGGTCCACTACGCGATATTAAATACTTACAGAATACATCGTACATATTAAGGGAATTCAATCACAATGAAATATCACAAATATATATTGAGGTAAAATTAGTTTGGCATATTTCTAAATTGGTCACTTGCATCAACATGTGTTGTCCCTTAGCCAGTTGGGCTCGTTAAGACCGATTGTATGGGGTTAAATAAGTCAATGCTTTTCTGAATTTAACGCATTCTCAGTGTGCCAAAAAATGACCGTGGTGACGACATTGAGTCACATTTTAACACAATTGTAAAGCATTGTCACTTATCCAAAATCTGGATCTTTCCCGGATGTGACACCACAAAAGACCTCCCTATACTGGTGTGCCTAAATTCAAATAATTTATCAATAAATGAAACCTTAATTCACATTTACTCACAGTGGGTGGGTGAAGACATTGCATCGAGTGTCCGCTGTTCGTAAAACTCCTCCGGTGTTCTTTGCTTTCTCCCCCTGTAGGTGGCGACACTGCCTTTGACCGGGAGGCGTCGGTCATCCCAGTCTACCTCTCCGACGAGGAGTTCTCGTCCCTGCACTGCCACTCTGCGAGACGACTAAACAGGTGCCGCCCCCCGCCCTCTGCCATCGCGCTGCCGCGCGTCTGACCCCGCCGTGGGCCATTGCGAGGGTGCGCCTCATCGCGCTTCACAGACAACCTATGTCAGCCTCTTTGAACCGACAAGGCAGTGTAGGTTTTTTATTGGGTGCAATTGTGAACAATAGCCACATCAGACATTAGTACATCTAATCGGCGTAATCATTGGTGACGACCTGACACCAGCAGTGGGTGGTTGGCTGCTGAAGGTTGTTTTACACAGCCTGTGCTTGGTGTATCTTGTGGGCAGTTCAACCCAGAATGTGTTCGATCTCATCAAGCCTCGGAAGCTTACACGGCATTGAGCCTGGATAGTGCTTGGATGGGTGACCACCACGCACGGGCAGTTGTCACAGGCATCTTCGACGCTGTACCACGTTGTGTGAAGCAGACGATAGTGCAGCAAAATCCTTTCCTCTGCTGTGTTTCTATACTCCCACCCTTCACCTTGATATAGGGAAGGACCACAAAGCGAATTTGGAACCAACTCACCACTGCTGCCTTTCCCCGCTAGCCTGTGGTTCCTCGTGCCGCCGAGTCATTCTCTCGGCGAGCGAATTAATGCCGTTTGCTTTATAAGTTGAAATTGTTATAGTCAATAAAAAGCCGTGGACATACACAAGCTGCGTTCACAATCATAAGCCAGCAGATGGAAACAATGGGCTGGGAAGAGGAGACGCTGGGTGCTTGAATGGTAAAGGCCAATGCGTCCCAAGTCAGAAATATTTCATTTTCTTTCATATATGCATGTTTTTTTGTATGTTGTAAGCCGGGCTGTTATGTCACCATCACTTTATTTTATAGTGCGCCTTTCACGGTTGTTCTCACAAAGTGCCATCTGCATTGTGGCCGTGGGCTCTGAAAGTACAGAGTTCACGTCTCGCAACAAAATACCCTTTCGAATGTGGCGTAAATGTAATCGTATTTGTCAGCTGTCTGTATGGCAACGATCAGACGATTCCTGCGTATACTTAGGAAGTCGTGCCCCAGTTTGCATTGAGGTAGGGTGGTGGCGGGTGGGGTAGGGGTTGGGGGGGGGGGTAATGATCATGAAATCTGCAATTTTTATGCAACAATCCTCCCATCTCGAGATGCAATGAGTTTAGTTGGCGGGCAGGGGTGGGCTCATTCCTGTTCTTTAGCAATTTAGAGGCAATGGCTGGTGGATCGGAAAAAATTGTGAATCTCTAAAACCTGTGAGGATGACGAGGAGTGGGGCGTAACATCAAGTGGTTTCATGCTCTCACTCGAAGGCACTGGTGTTATCGCAACCACGTCAGAACATCAATAGGTCGATGCGCGCTTTATAAATTAAAAATTAAAGACAAGCCACAGTGCGATTGTGGCCTTGCAATCCAAACTATGGACCGTATAGTAACCCATTATAGTCTGCACTCCTTCAATGGAAGAATGGAAAAACTACACGAACTCTCTCCTAAATCCCTCTTGTGGCCAGTAGACCTCGACATTGGCATTTAGCTCCTGGACGTACAGTGAGGGAAAAAAGTATTTGATCCCCTGCTGGTTTTGTACGTTTGCCCACTGACAAAGAAATGATCAGTCGAAAATTTTAATGGTAGGTTTATTTGAACAGTGAGAAACAGAATAACAACAAAAAAATCCAGAAAAACGCATGTCAATAATGTTATAAATTGATTTGCATTTTAATGAGGGAAATAAGTATTTGACCCCTCTGCAAAGCATGACTTAGTACTTGGTGGCAAAACCCTTGTTGGCAATCACAGAGGTCAGACATTTCTTGTAGTTGGCCACCAGGTTTGCACACATCTCAGGAGGGATTTTGTCCCACTCCTTTTTGCAGATCTTCTCCCAGTCATTAAGGTTTCGAGACTGACGTTTGGCAACTCGAACCTTCAGCTCCCTCCGCAGATTTTCTATGGGATTAAGGTCTGGAGACTGGCTAGGCCACTCCAGGACCTTAATGTGCCTATTCTTGAGCCACTCCTTTGTTGCCTTGGCCGTGTGTTTTGGGTCATTGTCATGCTGGAATACCCATCCACGACCCATTTTCAATGCCCTGGCTGAGGGAAGGAGGTTCTCACCCTAGATTTGACGGTACATGGCCCCATCCATCGTCCCTTTGATGCGGTGAAGTTGTCAAGTCCCCTTAGCAGAAAAACACCCCCAAAGCATAATGTTTCCACCTCCATGTTTGACGGTGGTGATGGTGTTGTTGGGGTCATAGGCAGCATTCCTCCTCCTCCAAACACGGCGAGTTGAGTTGATGCCAAAGAGCTCCATTTTGGTCTCATCTGACCACAACACTTTCACCAAGTTGTCCTCTGAATCATTCAGATGATCACTGGCAAACTTCAGACGGGCATGTGTATGTGCTTTCTTGAGCAGGGGGACCTTGCTGGTGCTGCAGGATTTCAGTCCTTCACGGCGTAGTGTGTTACCAATTGTTTTCATTGGTGACTATCGTCCCAGCTGCCTTGAGATCATTGACAAGATCCTCCTGTGTAGTTCTGGGCTGATTCCTCACCGTTCTCATGATCATTGCAACTCCATGAGGTGAGATCTTGCATGGAGCCCCAGGCCGAGGGAGATTGACAGTTCTTTTGTGTTTCTTCCATTTGCGAATAATCGCACCAACTCTTGTCACCTCACCAAGCTGCTTGGCAATGGTCTTGTAGCCCATTCCAGCCTTGTGTAGGTCTACAATCTTGTCCCTGACATCCTTTGAGAGCTCTTTGGTCTTGGCCATGGTGGAGAGTTTGGAATCTGATTGATTGATTGCTTCTGTGGACAGGTGTCTTTTATACAGGTAACAAGCTGAGATTAGGAGCACTCCCTTTAAGAGTGTGCTCCTAATCTCAGCTCGTTACCTGTATAAAAGACACCTGGGAGCCAGAAATCTTTCTGATTGAGAGGGGGTCAAATACTTATTTCCCTCATTAAAATGCAAATATATTTATAACATTTTTGACTTGCGTTTTTCTTAATTTTTTTGTTGCTATTCTGTCTCTCACTGTTCAAATAAACCTACCATTAAAATTATAGACTGATCATTTCTTTGTCAGTGGGCAAACGTACAAAATCAGCATGGGATCAAATACTTTTTTCCCCTCACTGTATTGCCATGCACAAGAATGGAATAATATGCCCTCGCTTGTATGGAGGAGTGTTTGCATGGTGGTAGGTTTTCCCCAAGTATTCCTCCCATACACAATGCACTGGTGAATGGGGTTGGCCAAATATGGATGGGCTGCCTAGGGGCTGAGTGATTCTTGGCATCTTTATGCCATTTATTACAGTGGCATTTATCTAAGTTCTGTCCCACAGTGAGCGATTACCTACAAACACAGCCGCATTTGTGGCTGGTGAGATGACAATTTTATGTATTATTGCGATTCAGGGTCACGGTTCGATGCAAATATCTATAATATTTATTTTGCAATGGAGTAAATAATAGCTCCTTTAGAAGGGGTATGTATGTTTAAATTATTTCGCACCATACATAGCCAACCGTACTAATTGGGGTGACGTGGGCCCATTGTACACTATATATGCTCACACACAAGGAAAAAAACTTGGATTTTTGCACGCATGATTCGATGTGTGTATTGTGAGCTTAAGAGTCTCCAAGTGGATGCATTGTTCTACCAACAATGAGCAGAGGGGACACTCACTCTGCACCATGCTTGAGAGACTGACTCTACTGCCATATTTCACAGCAGCTGTGCCTTCATCTCAAGCACACTGGTAAAATTACCACACCATGGTTCCTGGTAGATTCTCCAGCCGTCTCAGGAAGGTGGCTGTGAAAGTCTGTATTATTATTCAGATTTAAACAAAACAATTATTTTTTGTAGTTGCGGAGAATATGAGTAACAATAAATACGCATGCAATACCCATCCACACATCTGTGCCTCCACATAGAATATAAAAGTATTGTTAATACTTAAACCACAAGGCCTTATGGGAGTGCATAATTTCAAGAAACATGACTGTTGATGACACTGTGTTGGAACCGGTTCCATAAAGTTTGCTGGTATCGAACCAATGCTGCGAGAACATATGCACCTCCCAGAAGGCCTTTGTGGTTCATGGGAAGTGTAAACAAATGTATTTTTTTCTCATGAGGGACAGATGAAGGAGATGCATTGCCTGCTTATTTATATTGAGTTATTAAGATTGGCGCTGTGGCCTCTTGAGGGGCTGAGGCTCATGTGTGTTCTTCATAAGCCGTCCCTGCTAATGAGTTTGGGCATCTCAGATGTGTGCGTCATGTTATTTATTTATTTTATCTTAAGTGGTCTGTGTGGACGGTAATGTGAAATGCCTTCGGTTCCCATTTCGCGTGTAATTGGCTTGTACCGAGACACTAACAACTGCTTCCGCGTTCTAACCGGGGAAAAATTAGGATACGTGAATTGTTCTCGTTTGGCAGTAAATGTATGCGCGTACATATTTGTATTGTGCGTATGCGTGTGATGGGTCTGTACGTGTTTCTACGTGCAAGTCTATCCATAGGAAGCTTAGGATGTGTGTTTTTCTTATTGTTCCAGCAGCGATGTTGCATTGCGTGAGTTTATAGAAAGATAACGAGCATTACGATCATCAGCAGTCAAGCTGATTTCCAGCTCAATGGAGTGCTGGACGGTGCTCGCGTCCTGTGTTTCTTTTACAGCCTTGAGCCGATTGTGGAAATTCTCACAATAATAATGACGGTAAAGAATCGCACGGATAGTTATTATGTGGTGATGCTGTGTTGGTAGTGGTGTGCAGTACAACGAAAAAAACGCAACACATTTGTCAATGACACTGGCCTTGAATTATGTTTTGGGGCAACGGCCCTTCTTCATAGCACGTATATACGTGCTATGTAGAAGGTCCATAGGCCATAATGTCACCTATTGTATATATTTTGTCTATTCTTTTCAGTTCGTGTTATATGTGAGTGACGTTATATAGGCTAAAAAACTACATCTCACAATGCTGC